GATGGAATGTAATGAAGGCAATATTCTTCCGTTCATTGGATGCAATCATTTGTAACGATTGTGGCCATACTGTAACTACCTTTTGAAATTTCCACATTTGTTCCCATTATTTTTCAAAGCTCCATATCTTAATACGTCATATTTGCTTCTTTACACTCTAAAAAATGCTGGGTTAAATACAACCCAGTGCTGGGTAAAATAGGGACAAACCCAGCAATTGGGTTGTTTTGACCCAGCGGTTGGGTTAAATGTTTAAAGGTTGGGTTAAACATTTAACCCAACCGCTGGGTCAAAACAACCCAATTGCTGGGTTTGTCCCTATTTTACCCAGCACTGGGTTGTATTTAACCCAGCATTTTTAGAGTGTGTACAGTGCTGTTACCACATCAACATCTAGCTTTGACATAACCCAGCATACTGTATATTTCTGTGTTAAATGTGCAGGTCTGATTCATAGGAGACGACAGAATGTAATGGAAAGTACTTCAGAGATGACGGTGCACATGTACACCTACACACACTGTCATAATTTTTCACCAAAGCGTCTTCACCAAAACATTGATTCTTAATGTTTTATCAGATCTTCACAGCTAACAAAGAACGTTCTCAGAACATTGGCTAACGTTTTAGTAACGTTAATAGAATGTTTGTTCAGACTTAGCAGGTTTTTAATAATGTACTCAAAACATTAGCACAAAATTGTTCATGGAGCGTTTTAAGTTTTTTTTTGTTTTGAAATCTTAAGTTTCTTTTATGTTCCGTTTCAGAATGTTCAGAGAACCTTCCAAAGTAACATTCTCATAATGTTTACGGAATTACAAAATGTTCCCTTAATGTTTGCATAAATAAATAAATAAGTGTATTAAAACCTCTAAATAAAACCTGGAGGTTCATAAATAACATGTTAATAGCTTAATTGGAACACTAGCAGATTTATGTTACCCGAGTCTGAGCTCACAGCCAGATTCATATTAATTAAAGGGACTAAAAAGCACTTTGTGGAACTTGTAAATGACATCAGGCTGTAAACCCGTTTTGGGACTGAGGTTAAGTATCGTATTCTTAAATCTAACAGTCACTGGTGTGCACTGTTGCTGTGTTTATGGATAGTCCTTGCTCTTCCTCCCCAGGCCATTCGTATCCCACTGTTCCTCTCTCTCCCTCGCTATTCCTATCAACAGATCAAACACAAGCTTTGAAGATAAGGAAGAAAAACAAATATGATGAATCTAATTTGTAAAATTGTTCATTCTCTGATAAAGGGATTTGAAGAAACATCCGCTCACTGAGGCTCAGCTCAAGACTGAATACACATATTGCTTTATTATGACTCAGTCGAGGAAGCTTATAAGCAGCCTGTGAGCACGAGTCCAGTGCTGTTATTATTTGTGTGATGTGTGCCATTGATACTATGACTGTCACTTTACAGATGCTTTTCATTGGCTA